CATGCACACACAGACACACCCAGGCACACCCCTGACACTGCCAGGCACATTCCCCACACTGCCAGGCACACCTCTGACACTCCCAGGCACACGCCGATACTCATAGGCACACCCCTGACACCCCCAGGCACACCCCTGACACTCCCAGGCACACCCTCTGACACTCCCAGGCACACCTCTGACATTCCCAGGCACACCTCTGACACTCCCCAGGTACACCCCTGACACCCCAGGCACACCCCCTGACACACCCAGGCACACCCAAGACACACCCAGGCACACCCATGACACTGCTGTGGCACATCTCCTGACACTCCCAGGCACACCTCTGACACTGCCCGGTACACACATGACACTGCCAGGTACACCTCCTGACACTCCAGACACACCGCCGATACTACAGGTACACCCCTGACACTAGGTACACCCTGACAATCCCAGGCCACCTCTGACACTCCCCAGGCACACTTCTGACACTCCCAGGCACACCTTGACACTCAGTGCAACTCCGACACCCCAGTTGCCACCCTGACACTCCCAGGCACCCTCTGACACTCCCAGGCACACCTCTGACACCCCAGGCACACCCTCTGACACTCCCGGCACACCCCCTGACACTCCCAGGCACACCTCTGACACACCCAGGTACACTGATACTCCCCAGGTACACCTTGACACTCCCAGGCACACCCCTGAAACTCCCAGTACACGTCTGACACTCCCAGGTACACCCCAGACACATTTCTGACACTCCAGGCCACCTCTGACACTTCCAGGCACACCTCTGACACTCCAGGGCCACCAATGAGACTAGGCACACCACTGACACTCCCAGGCACACCTCTGACACTCCCAGGCACACCTCTGACACCCCAGGCACACCTCTGATACTCCCAGGCACACCCTCTGACACTCCCCAGGCATACCCTGACACCACAGGCACACCTCTGACACTCCCAGGCACACCACTGACACTCCCAGGCACACCTCTGACACTCCCAGGCACACTCTGACACTCCCAGGTACACCTCTGATACCCCAGGCACACCTCTGACACTGGGCACACCTCTGACACACCCAGGCACACCTCTGGCAATTGCACACCTCTGACACTTCCCAGGCACACCTCTGATACTCCCAGGT